CAAATTAAGACCTTGGACATCAGACATTGATTTCCTGAAGGTAAAGTCACGTTCTTATATGTGCTGACAAGGAAGCACCCACCCAAGATCAGAAATCAGCTCTCATAATGCAACAGAGTCTGCGCTCACTGGCCCTACCAGGCCTCCACAGACTAACACGAATGATAGACGATCTTGGCCCCTCCCCCAAACCCAAGAGGTCAGCTGTCAGCTTCCTTGCTTTGCTTTAAGGTACGGTGAGCGGTAATTTTAGAAATGAAAGTTTGAGAGTTGACTTAGTCATTGTGTAGAGAAATCCATATAGGAAAGAATTTTCTGGTAGCACTCTTTCTTCCGGCACCCTTGGGACTGACTAGTGCCAAATCAGAGAATTTGCTGAACTACAGAAGATCAATGAAGGCAGGAGACCTGACTCCAAGGTCCCTTCCAGCTCTAGGAGATAGCTTCATTCATTTCATGATAAGTGGCTATCCAGCTAACTAAAATCATGCCAGACTACAGATAGTGCTGGACAAGAGCAGTTCAACCTGTAGAAAGCTCTTTAATTTTGGGGAGCAGACAAGCTCATAAAGTGACCCAATGGCTGGAATCTGAAGTTAGATAAAGTCAGGCTAGAAATAAGGTGCAAACTCTTTGTCATGCTAATTAGCCACTGGAAGACTTCCAAAGGTATGTGGTAGATCCTCCAGTATTTACAGTTTTTAAACTCAAGATTGGACATTTTTTCTGTAGACATGTCCTTTAGCTCAGTCACAAGACAGGGGCTTAATGCAGAGACCACTGGAAAAAAATCTCTGGCTTGGGCTATTCAGACCAGATGCTCAGAAATGCTTCCTTATAGCTTTAAAGATCTGGAAACTCACCAGTGGATATCTGGGCTAATTCTACCACTGAATTGCAATTTGTTGTGCTTAGTATTTACACAGAGCTGAGCCTGAACCACAACAAGAAGTCTGGCTGGGGCAGGCTCCAACAACCAGGCTGGCCAATGGGGTAGTAAGGCCCGATTTAGAAGATTTAGAAAACTATCAAACTAACCTTCCAACCGTTCCAGCCTCCCCGTCTTCCAGCAACTCTGACAGCCAGCTCAAAGCCCAAGCTTTATATAAAGGCATTTCCTACCCAGAACCCTTTGCAGTGAAATCCCACCTGTGTCTCTCTGGGTGATTGGCAGCCCATCAAGCCAATCAGCTCTCTTTTCGTCGTGGATGATACCACATAAGCATCACACTGAGCCCCTTCCAGCATTTGAATTTTAGATTTAGGTCAAGCTGCAGTGCATGTGACTTTCCCTTGCTGGCCTATACCTGTACTCACAAGCTGACACACTCTGAAACTTTGGTCTGAATACGTCTCTCAACCCAATATCTGAGGACCATATCCCTTGTTTTACAGCATGGCTACGTCTAGACTGGCATGATTTTCCGAAAATGCTTTTACCAGAAACGTTTTCCGTTAAAAGCATTTTTGGAAAAATCGCATCTAGATTGGCAGGATGCTTTTCCGCAAAAGCACTTTTTGCGGAAAAGCGTCTGTGGCCAATCTAGACGCGGTTTTCCGCAAAAAAGCCCCGATTGCCATTTTCGCGATCAGGGCTTTTTTGCAGAAAACAGTATTATGCTGACTACACTGGCCCTTTTGCGAAAGTCTTTCAGAAAAAGACTTTTGCCCGAACGGGAGCAGCATAGTATTTCCGGAAAAGCACTGATGATTTTACATGAGATCATCAGTGCTTTTCCAGAAATTCAAGTGGCCAGTGTAGACAGCTGGCAAATTTTGCCAGTCTAGACACAGCCCATGAGTTTGTTTCCCTTCCCGTACCAGTATGGATGTTAAGGGAAGTATGTTGCAATATCGAATTTACAAGCAGGGCAGTACGTATGGAGTTGTCTGAAACCCGTCAGTTTCTCATCTTAAGGAAACTTGGTGGCTACGTCTACACTGGCCCCTCTTCTGGAAGGGGCATGTAAATTTCACGAGTCGTCGTAGGGAAATCCGCGGGGGATTTAAATATCCCCCGCGGCATTTAAATAAAAATGTCCGCCGCTTTTTTCCGGCTTTTAAAAAAGCCGGAAAAGAGCGTCTAGACTGGCCCCGATCCTCCGGAAAAAGCGCCCTTTTCCGGAGGCTCTTATTCCTACTTGAGGAGAGGCTGAGGGAGTTGGGTCTGTTTAGTCTGGAGAAGCGAAGAGTGAGGGGGGATTTTAAAAGCCGGAAAAAAGCGGCGGACATTTTTATTTAATTGCCGCGGGGGATATTTAAATCCCCCGCGGATTTCCCTACGACGACTCGTGAAATTTACATGCCCCTTCCGGAAGAGGGGCCAGTGTAGACGTAGCCCATGTGTTTTCCCCTTGGCATGCTGCATGGCTTTTCACCAGAACCTGTGTTGTGCGAGCTTAAATAATTATCCCCACCACTGTTTACAGCTGAGAGTCCCACACACTTTAGTGAATTTATCCTCATGACACTCACGTGAGACAAGGCCATACCACAATCTCCATTGTACACATGGAAAAACTGAGGCTAAAGTCACACCCTGGCTGTGTCTAGACTGGCCAGTTTTTCCGGAAAATCAGCCGCTTTTCCGGAAAAACTTGCCAGCTGTCTACACTGGCGGCTTGAATTTCTGCAAAAGCACTGACTTCCTACTGTAAGAAATCAGTGCTTCTTGCAGAAATACTATGCTGCTCCCATTCAGGCAAAAGTCCTTTTGCACAAAACTTTTGCGCAAAAGGGCCAGTATAAACAGCTCAGATTTGTTTTCCGCAAAAAAGCCTCGATCGCAAAAATGGCAATCGGGGCTTTTTTGCGCAAAAGCACATCTAGATTGGCACGGATGCTTTTCCGCAAAAAGTGCTTTTGCGCAAAAACATCCATGCCAATCTAGACGCTCTTTTCCAAAAATGCTTTTAATGGAAAAGTTTTTCCGTTAAAAGCATTTACGGAAAAGAGAGTCTAGATTGGCATGGATGCTTTTGCACAAAAGCACTTTTTGCGGAAAAGCATCCGTACCAAGCTAGATGCGGTTTTGCGCAAGAAAGCCCCAATCGCCATTTTCACCATCGGGGCTTTTTTGTACAAAATAGTCCTCCCCTGTCTACACTGGCCCTCTTGCGCAAATACATTTGCACAAGAGGGCTTATCCCTGAGCGGGAGCATCATAGTATTTGCGCAAGAACACTCACAATCTTACATTAGATCGTCAGTGTTCTTGCGCAAATTTAAGCGGCCAGTATAAACAGTTGGCAAGTTTTTCCGCAAAAGCAGTTGCTTTTGCGGAAAAACTTGCCAGTCTAGATGCAGCCTCTGAAGTCTTAGGCTAATACCAGGAATGTGGAAACTTACGCCCAGGGATCAGATGCAGTCCCTGGCTTGCTGGAACTGGGCCCCAAAGTTCAGGGGGCCCACAGGCTCTGGTGTTCAAGGGGAAGATGGAGCCATGTTTTTGTTTTTGGGAGGACTTTTTGCTTCTCACTTGTGTGCAGCCCCCAACTGATTTTTCTGTGGTTCAGCTGTCCCCCTGATCCAAAAAAGGTCTGCCACGTCCCACCCCTGGCTATACCCTACCTCCTGCACCTGCTTGCTGCTCTTAATACTCCTGACTGCTCCACAAATAACCTATATATCCCCCAGCCTCCCTCCAAATTTACTCACGGATCACCTGCAACATGGCCCAATCCTGCTCTGACAGTTCCCAAACCTTAAGCGATCTTTTAGGTGGGAACAAGTCTAAGCCACAATCCTGAATCCAGACTCCAGATCTGGAGCTGACCTCCATGTGCCTTTTACCCAAAGTCGCCTTTACCCCATGCAGACAGCATAAAAGTGTCCTACACCCCCAAATCCTGTTCACCTTATCCCAGTCTCATAAGACTTAAAGGCACTCTGGGCATGTCTACACTGCAATGCTATTTTGGGATACCGGGGTATCCCGAAATAGCTATCCCGCGATGTCATGGCAAGCCCGTTATTTTGTGCTCACTATTCCGATGTCCCTGAAGATCTCATTCAATGGGGATTAAGGGACGTTTCAGAATAGCGCTTTATTTCGAAATGGGGCGCTGGGTAGACAACACCAAATGACGAAATAAGCATAAATATAAGAGACACAATTTGTGTAGCTCAAACTGCGTAGCTCATTTTGAGTCACGGTGCAGTGTGGACACACCCTCAGGCTTGTAACTTCTGCTGAAATCAGCGTTATCAGCTGGATGCTGGACTTTGGTTGTTGAGCATCAAGGGATAATAGAAGGGTCGAGCCCCTTTGTCTATTATTAATGTACTTCTCAAACTGACTTGCATATCAGGATTCAAGCCACCGTGAAGTATCTTGCAACTGGAGTTACTGCTGGTACCACATGATTTGGTGGTATAGGACCACCACGGGATCAGGATGGATTCCTTGCTATGAAGTAAATGCTCTCACAGATATATCCAGTAGCCCTGCTGCTAAAGATGATTTTATAGTGCAGCAGCGTGGCTTACTGGTTAGCGCCCTGGATGTGGGTTCTCTCCCACATTTTGTGACTGACCTGAGATGCAATCTTGGGAGAGTTACTCTAAGCCTCTCTTTTCCCCTTTATCTGTCATTCTGCATTAGAATGAATGCTCTTAGTAGGGAGGACTGAGAGGAGGGATGGGTCAGAGGTTAGGGAAATAGCCTCGGACTTTGGCAGCCAGCATTAGCTCCATGCCTCAATTTCCCCATCTGTACAACACAGATGATAGCACGGCCTTACCCCCACAGGGGGTTGCTAATATGCTAAGGGGACCTAAGTGGCCATTGAAATAACTAAGATAGGTTGCCTGTCACTTGTTCTAGACACTTTATACAAGCAGGCCCTGGTCTCAGTGGAGGCCTCAAAGAACCATCTTCATGCAAAACTAATCGTATTTCATCTGCCTGATTTGATTTGGTTAGTCTCACTTGATCTTTGCAAAACTCCTTTAATCACCTTGCTATTTCCATGTTGTTACAAATGAAACAGCCACAAACATTTTCAGGCATCCAAGTTTTATTGTGGGGCAATTTATATTTTAAAGTACAAGAAAGGCAGTCGTTAAAAAAAAAAAAAAGAATTCTGAACAAGACAGAGGCTGAGAAAACATGAACAGGTCCCCCACGCTTTCCGCCAAAGTGCCTTCATTTCATTATCATTAAATTTCCCTAGTAATTAGATTTCCGCCCATGAATATTTAAAAAAAAAAGTAACAGACAGGCTGTCAAAAAAAAAAAAAAGCACGACGACATCAATTTGATAATTTTTCAGACAGAGACATTCAGAAGCAATTAACACAGATTTCCAGGTTTTCAGGCCTTTGCGGCTCTTTCTTTCTTTGATGATCAAATTCTTCCTTTCCGCCTTGCATCCTTCACCTGCAAATCAGAAGGAGAAAAAAACAAAAACACTCTAAATATCAACACTTCTGGTTTTTTTTTTTAATGTTTTTGCTATAGATTAACATGATCTCTGGGCCATTTTTTCCCCTATCCAGCCATGTTGCAAAGCTTGCTTAGCATGCTAAATCATTGCTGTCTTCCCCTGCTCCCATCCTTGCTAAACCCAGGCAGGCATGAGGTTGGGTCATCTATTAGACCTCCCCTCTCCTGCAAGACCAGATTAAATTAAGGTTGCATGAAGCTTCTGTCTTGATCTTCAGGCATTTCTGCTGAAAACAGTGATTTTGATCATCATTTGCATAATTGTACAGTTACATATTCACCGGCTCCCTAATTATATAATCTGTGTTCGACACCGCTCCAGACAGTTAAAAGGTTTGCCGTGGGCATACTAAACTGGTACTCTATGTACCTACCTATGGACTCTACCCTTAAAGATCCCCTAGTCTGGATATTAGGGTATACACTGGCGTGGCTGCAGAGTTAAATCCATTCTCCCACCCATAAACAGGATTTCCTGCCTCCGACCTGAAAGAGAGCACCCAGAGGTGCCCCTAAATTCCCATTGCACAAGGCGCTGTACACTCACACTGTTCAACAGTCCCTGCCCTGAAAAGCTAAATCGAGGAGGGGTGGAGACATTTGTATCCCCTTTTTACAGTTGGGAAACTGAGGCACCCAACGCTTAAGTGACTTGCCCAAGCTCACGCCGGGAGCACGTGGCGAGGGCAAGAATGCAAACCAGTTCCCATGAATCTCAGCTCAGTGCTTTCACCAGACGGTCACACATCATCTGGCCACGGGAGTCATATCGGCGTGGCCTCAACTGGCCAAACTCTATTGGCCTTCCACACTAGCCTGTGCAAGGCTGGCCTGGAGATCCCCTCCACAGTTCAGAGGAAGAGTGAAGAAACTGCATAGCCAGCAGGTCCCTCACACAGCCATGGAAGTTCAGTGAATTTCACCTGGCCACCTAGGACTGCTGCAGCTCCAATGATGGTACCATGGGAACTGATACGCCAAGCTTAGCTCCAGTGAACTCATTGGCTACGTCTAGACTGGCATGATTTTCCGCAAATGCTTTTAATGGAAAAGCTTTTCAGTTAAAAGCATTTGTGGAAAAGAGCGTCTAGATTGGCATGGATGCTTTTCTGCAAAACCACTTTTTGCGGAAAAGCGTCCGTGCCAATCTAGACACGGTTTTGCGCAAGAAAGCCCCGATCGCCATTTTCGCCATCAGGGCTTTTTTGCGCAAAACAGTTTTTAGCTGTCTACACTGGCCCTCTTGCGCAAAAACATTTCCAGAAAAGGGCTTTTGCCCAAATGGGAACGTCAAAGCATTTGTGCAAGAAGCACTGATTTCGGACAGTAGAACGTCAGTGCTTTTGCACAAAATCAAGTGGCCAGTGTACACAGCTGGCAAGTTTTTGCACAAAAGCGGCTGCTTTTGCGGAAAAACTTGCCAGTCTAGACGCAGCCATTGGGAATTACGCCAGTTGGCACCAGGTAAGGATATGGCTTTTGCTGACTGTCCATGGTCAACATCCTGCCACAAAGACCTGGTGCTCTCTCACAGATCATTCCCAGTAGAGCCGGGCTCGCAAGGAAGAAGGAATTCCCTGTATTTTTCCATTTTTTCCACCTGCAATTTTCTCAGCAGGTAGTACCCAAGAATTTCCCACAAACAATTCTTATCTTGGATTGGTCTGCAGTGACACCTCCGTAGTCAAGCTGTTCTGATTGGACACAGAGGTCACATGGGGGTGGTTCAGGTCCTCTGACTGGTCCTCCATACCTCTCAGGGATGGAGATGGTACTTGGTCCTGCCGTGAGGGCAGGGGACTGGACTCAGTGACCTCTCAAGGTCCCTTCCAGTTCTAGGATTCTAGAATTGGAAGCAGGTGCCTGGCCAAAACAGAAAATTTGCTTTCGATGAATATGAATAAAAAAGGATGACTTTTGTGAATATTAGGAGTAAATCATGTATTGGCTTAAAATACTGTTTCCACTTGCTATTGTTTTTTAATACAGTAGCCCTGGTGTGCCACTGGACTGGGCACCATACATATGCAGAGAGGGAGATAGCCCTTCCCCAATCCAAACAAATCCCTGACAATTCCTTAACCATTCATTATCAGTGGGAAATAGGTCAATGGAGGGATGATAGGAGTTACTATAGAGAACTTTCTGGGTTTCTGGCTGGTGAGTCTTGCCCACATGCTCAGGGTTTAGCTGATCGCCATATTTGGGGTCGGGAAGGAATTTTCCTCCAGGGTAGATTGACAGAGGCCCTGGAGGTTTTTCGCCTTCCTCTGTAGCATGGGGTACAGATCACAGCTGGAGGATTCTCTGCATCTTGGGGCCTTCAAAGTATTTGAAGGCTTCAATATCTGAGATATAGGTGAGAGGATTATTCTAAGAGGGGTGGGTGAGATTCTGTGGCCTGCATTGTGCAGGGGGCCAGACTAGATGATCATAATGGTCCCTTCTGACCTTAAAGTCTATGAGACAAAGCATGAAAGGGGAAACTGAGGAACAGTGGCAGCATGCCTTCCTCAAGAGCACACTACAAGCCAGAGGCAGAAATAAAACCTAAGTCTCTTAGTCCATTTCATTGTTCACTGGCCCCCATGTTGCTTCACAAATACTCTCAAATTAATTCCCAGAAGAACTGGGCAGAACACTTTTACTGGACTTGTTTTCCATTGGGCAAAATCAAAATCAGAATGCTTGGTAAAACAGTGCAAAAGCAGCCGAAATTTCAATGGAGGCGGGGAAAGGGAAATCTGTTTAGACAATGCTGAAACAGAAATGTTCTGATTTTTCCTCTGACAGCGACTTTTGGTTTGGCCTTTTTTTTTAAATAACTTTGTATTACATCCTATCCTTCCATCATATACAATTTGTACCAGTCAAAATAGAAATGACTCATTGTGCCTGACCTGAAGTGGGATTTTTTTTTTTCAGAATTGTGAAGAATTTTGAAATTGGCAGATTTTGCTCCCACTGGAAACAAAAACAAATTTCAAAATCTTCCATTCTCTGCACGGTTCTAGCACCCAGCACAACCTAATTTTCTATTGCGTCTGTAGAACCGGTGTTAAATAAATTGTTACCAGAGTTTTTTAGAGCCTTATCAACTTGACACTAGCCTGGTAAACAAATTATTCCCACATCAGTCATTTGATGGTGTCTTGTGGCTTACACGGTTGATTGCCACGTTTTACAGACAAGAGCTCAATTTCTAATCTCTGCTAGTCTGGGGCAAATACGGAGTAAATTCACAGAAGTTACCAGGGTTACACTAGATTTATGCTGAAAGCAAAATTTAGCCTGTAGGATCCACACTGGTATGTAAGCAGTGAAGAGCTTTAGACAGCAGGTCATATGATACAGGTTGAAACTCTCTTAACCAGGACTCTCTGGTCTGGCAACTTCCATGGTCCAGCATGGATGTTGCAGGACCAGAGAGTCTGGTGGAAGGGCAGCAGCAGGGAGCCTTGGGGGGTTGGCAGGGCAGCGGGGCCGGCAGCAGGTGGGGAGCCAGCCAGGAGACCAGAGGGCCAGGCCAGGGCTGGGAAAGCTCGTGGCAGGGAGGCCAGAATCTAGCAAAATTCCTCATCCGGGACCAGTCAAGTCCTGAGGGTGCCAGACCAGGGAGATCCCACCTGAAGATACATCAGATATTAATACGGAAGGGGTACAGTTTTGGGAATGCAGGTATTTTGACCTGGGCATAGGCTGGTTTTATTATTATTTTGTGGACTTAAGAAAGAAAGAAAGAAAGAAAGAAGAAGGGGTACAGTTGGGGAAATGCAGGTATTTTGACCTGGGCATAAGCTGGTTTTATTATTATTTTGTGGAAGAAAGAAAGAAAGAAAGAAAGAAAGAAAGAAAGAAAGAAAGAAAGAAAGAAAGAAAGAAAGAAAGAAAGAAAGAAAGAAAGAAAGACCTACACCTCAGCCCAGGTCATGCCTCTCCAAAATCTCCTTTGCAAGGGCTTTATCGGAAGGAGCAGGGGGTGGAAGCAGCTGGTACGAGCAAGCTGAGAACTAAAATCAAAAGCATGTGAGTAGATTAAAAAAAAAGTAATCCTCCATCTGATGCAGAGGAAATCCCACTAATTATAAAGAAGGGGCTTATTTCCTGGAGTCACTCTGTTTGAAGTCATCACAACGAGCAATTCTTAATTACTCTACTTTATGGTATATATGGAACATCAGCCTCCGAGTCTTCTGGTGCAGTGCTGAGTGGGACTTCGCAGAGATATCTGTGATGCATGCCATGTACGGTATCTGTTTATTCAAAGGCATGTCTTACCTGCTCTCCCATGACAGAGCAGGCAGGTAATTCAACCTGCTTCAAAAAGGGGGTCGTTACAAAAAGTTCATTGACCTGGGATCTACCGGAGGACTGCTTTGGCTGGGGGGGGCGGAGGGGGGGTTATATTTGCTGAGTCCCTCTTTGATTTAGCCACAGTTGCAAATAAAAATGCATCCCAGTAAAGGAAGCTAACACTAAGCATAGGTCTTGTCTACACTAAACAGAAGAGTGTTGCTGCCACGATTGATCTTCCAGAGTTCGATTAGTTAAGACTCACTAAATCAAACTCAGAGGGTGCCCCGCCAGCATCCGATACTCCTGCTCTTGCCAGGAGTAAGGGAAGCCACTAAACTCCGCTTAAGGTAAGCCGACTCCAGCTACGCTTTTTACATAGCCAGGTCTAGTGTAGACTGACCAGACCTTTAAAAGGAAGGGTAGTCTAGTGGTGAAAGTGCTTGACTGGGTTTTGAGGGTCTGGGGTCACTCTCTAGTCTGCCTAGACATTTCCAGGGGAAGTTGCTAATGCCCAAAACTACAAAGAGACCTGCCTTTTGCTGCAATCCATAAGCCCAGAGCACAGGTTTCTATACAATGCATAGCAAGAAAAAGGAGGCTTCAGAAAGGGAACCCCAAAAGCCAATATGCTATACGGA